TTACTACTATCGTTATTATTGTTATTATGATTGCTATTAATATTTTTAATATTCTGCCTTATTACCATAATTAATGCTTGAATACTTGAACAGCTGTGTGCTATCGACGTTCGTTGTCACGCCATCGATGCTGCTAGCAACTTCTTCATCCAACTTGTTATTGCACTCTCTGAGTTCAAGTGGTACCGTGCAGGCGTACCATGGAGTCTCTTCACCTCACCGGTAGTCTCCCCAGCATTCAGTTGATCGTGCTCGGGTACCACTCCACTATCCGCCTTGTTCATGTGTTATATGTCATCCGCACATTGTAGCCAGTCCATAATTAATACTACTGTATTATTATTATTCTGCTTCTATTATTATTATTATTATCACTAGTATTGTTATTATTATTATCATTGTTATTATCATTGCTGTTTTATTATTGTTATGGCTTTGCTGACGAATATTATTATTCCATCATTTTTTCACCCTTAGGTAAAAAAAGATACCGGACACGAGTCGAGAAATGACCAGTTTTTGCGGTGATAAAATCGCTATCAGATTTTGTTCCAAACTTGTGATGAAATTTGCTACGGCAATATCAATAACTGCATAAGGTAACTGTTCTTCGAGTAGACAACTCAGCTGCTGCTGTTGTTGTTGCTGCTTTGTATCACTCACTCGTCCTGGATCGATCACCCATAATCGACCGGCTATACTTCCCACTATTATTTGATCTATAATTTGAGAATGGTAGGTTTGAAAATGAGTAAACTTTTGCGTAGATCCGGACGAGGTGAGGAAAATTTTGGTCAAAATGTGTGAAATTCTCAGTGAGGCAAATTATTCAGAAGGCGTAAATCTCAAATGAGAGGCGTCCAATTTCAAAAAGAAAAGAATCAGATTAAAAGAAATGAGTACTGAATTTCATAATAGCTCAGGGATGAAACGCAGACAGGCTACCAAATTACTGTACATACAGGCTTGCTTTTTTGGGATATCTAAATGGCACTTTCAGTGTTTCCATTACTTATCAAAATTCGGCTGTGTTCCTCTCCACGGTGGTAGGCCAGCAACGCCAAACAAACTGCATATGTTAACACATAGACGACTTCAGGCCCCCGTTCTCTTCCAGTCTCCTAGTCAAGGATATTCATTGTTTGTATCTCTAAAATTTCTACAACATTTAGGTGTGGACCGGTTTCAAAGAGAACTTTGATTTATCAAGATTTCCAGAAAGTTGAATGTAGTGGGTA